ACATAAGGTTTTATTTTAACCCCCATTTCAAGTGGAAGGGGTGACTCAAACGGCATCTATGCATGCCTGTAGAGAAACAGCTCTCTTGCAGATTTTAGTGTGATGCTGCACTCAATTTCCCGAAAAGCAATAGGCAATTAAAAGTGCCCTGCAATTTCCATTTACCTTAACCAAAACGATGCCTCAAACTGTGAAATTTTGCTGTGGAGCACGCTGCAACCGTCAAATTTACTTCTCATGAATTGTTTCTTCATTTTTTATTTTTGAAAACTGTTGGGCATTTAAAAAAGTCGCATGTGGGCTATTTTTTTCAATTTTAAATTTTCTAAATTTATTTTGAGATGAAGGTAAAATATATTTTGATTGATTATTTATGTATAACAGTTTTTATAAATAATTTCAATGAATTTAAGCTAAAATTGAGTATTTTTCATTTGAAAGTCCTCATGCAAAATTTTTTTGTATAATTAAACAGAGTTGATTTCTAAGAATATGTTGACTTGTGTGATGTGAGAAGTATTTTGCTTTAGAAAATATGCGGCAAGGAAAAAATCAAATTTATACAACCTAGAGCTTTCGTGGGCGAAATTTCCATACAAACAATTTTCTACTAAAGACTGAAAGTAGTTTTTTGAAAAGAAAAAAATTGAGTAAATTTTAAGTTCCTTTTATTGTTTTTTCTGTAACTTCTTCGATTAAATGCATACTAGAAATTGAGATTTGTTATAGGATGAAGTTCAAAGAAAGACTAGGATGTTCCTATGCTTAATTCAAATCAAATTGTGCTTGTAAATTGCTTGATGTTGTCTATTATTCTGTGTCATTAAGTAATTTTTTTACTTATGAACAAAATGAGTTATGTTCATATTAACATTTCATTTGATTTGGTACTTTCCAGACCTTCCCTTTCTATATAAATATATCTCTTAATGAAAATCATCTAAAAAACGTGTCATCCTTTTTAAAAAAACATTTACTTGAACATGACTCTTTTTTTTTTTTTGAACATTTTAAGATATCGAATAATTGAACATTTTAAGATATCGAATAAATTATATCATAATTATCAATAGCTTCGTAATGAAAATCAAAGCCCTGAGCAACAAAGCCACAAGGCTTGCACGTGAATTCACGTATACATACCACACAAATTTTATGAATTTATATTTCTAATACCTAAATATATATATTTTTTTACGTATGTAACACTCTAGTGTTTCAAAGCTTACACAAGAATATTTCAATTTAAAGGAAATTAATATTAGTGATATTTTTTGTTTAATTAGAAAAATTTAATTGTTACATATTTAAATATTAAATTCTAAATTAGATATGTAAATTCAAGGATTTTGTGCCATGTATCCCTGTTTTTTAACGCAAACTTAAGATTTGTTATTCCTTACTTGCCACTGATTTCAACATGTTGTATTAAAATAATAAAATAATTAAAGCAGATTAACAAAGATCACCCTATATTATATTTTTTTACTTTCTTCCCTTCTAATATTTTTTTCATCTCTTTTGTTACAGACTAAGCTACACATAAAAACATTTTCGAATCACTTGAACCAATTCCCTGAGGACTTTTGTCACACTTTCATGATGGGCTCCATGGGATAAAATATTTTTGAATTAGCCGAGCACATGCACTTGCTATACATTCAAAGCAAACTCGTAGTTCTCAAACCCTCCAATGAGGAGTCGACGTGAAGCCGAGGCCAGAAGACGGCGGCAGGTAACTGGCCACGACGTGGTGGAAGAAGAAATCAAGTACGCTACGAGTTGTTCATGCAACTCGTGTGCGGCAACTGCAGTCGCTGACATTATAGCCGTTAGCTGCTGTCCTTGCGCTGTGTTGAGCTTCTTGGCTTTGGCCTTCTTCAAACTTCCCCTGGCTGCGTGCAGGAGATGCATGCGAATTTTGAAGAGCAGGAGGGGGGCTTTGGAGGGAGGTGGGGGTGGTGTGAAATGGGAAGGGTTGGGAGATAAGAATGTAGAGTTTAGGATGGAGAATTTTGTGGAAATGGGGATAGTGGATATGATGGAAGAGAGAGCTTGGAAGGAGATGTATCAGGTTGGGCAATGGGGTTTTGGGAGGTTTTCTGTATCCGGTTCAGAAGCTTAGATCAGTTTTAATCGGGAGGAAGAGGTGGATTTTGTAAAATTGTGCGTCATTGGTAGAGATGAGTGATCCAAAGCAGCAAAACGCTGCTGATTACTCGGAGAATGAAGAAATATTTTCTGTAATAACTGTCTGTTTATTTTCATTCTTATGTTGAATAGTGTTTACTTATGAATATGAAATCATAATTCGACTATTTATTTCAATTAATGTTCAGAGCTAACGTTGATGTAAGACGCGCCCAACTTCCTGAAGTTCATAACTCTGAACGAGCGGGCCTTCTTTTTTTTTCTTAATAATGGCGTACTAAAGAAATCATTCAAAACTTTATTTAATTATCATTTTTATAAATGGAGCAATTAAATTTGATGATTTATTTACTTTTATTTATAGAAAATGAAAATATCAATCTCTTCAAGTGTTTATTTAACATGCTTTTCTATGTAATTATTTTTTAGAGAGCACAGCATTTGTTTTTTTGTTGTTGTCCTGCTTAAAACTAACTCTTATTTTGTGAAACTTGATTAACCAAAATTAATTATAATTGTAAGAAGGTGATAGATTCTGCACTCGAATCCCAACTTTTGCGATGGAAGCCAAGGCCTCCAAGTATAATATTGTCATATAGCCTTCCGTTTTATTTTAATTTATGTACACGACCTCATTCTCTGATTTGTTCTATGCATATTTGATAGAAACAATGTCATAGAATATGTTATGTATGACTTCCTATTTTTTTGAGGCATGCCGTTTAGAACATCCTAAATGACTATTTTGGGGACAATCACAGTAATAACGATGGTATATCACCCTAATATTGAAGAAAAAAGAAAGCACTCACAAATACGCCAGTCCAGTGAAAATCCAACGGTGCAAGATGGATTTCAAATAAAAAATTTTGGAAGCCAGAACATGAGGTTTGTTGCAGTTGAAATAGTTTCAGTGGTTTGTCATATATTATAAAAGATGTCATGCCTCAAAATAAAAAAGTGGATTTGATAAAAGATGCCATGCATCATGAAGCATATATTTCATGGAGAAATTAGAAGTCTCGCGTTTCCCATTTTTTTTAGCAAAAGTGGTGGGTGGCAGTTAAAATCTCTCTCCTTATAACAGAAGGGATTTGATTATTTATAAGAAGGATGTTTGATATTAATAGTTGATGAACATCAGTCTTTTTATCATTCCAAAGCATTATGTGATACTTGTTTGGGAACATTGAATATTGGGCAATTGATGTTGGTTTGCTTGATCATTCTTATATGAAAAGATGAAACTAGTATGTAGTAAGTAATGCAACAGACATTAATAATTGATTATGACAGACATTAGCAGGTGGTAGCGAACGATCTACTAGGAATTTAGACATATAACGATGGGGGATGGTATGCTTGATAATTTTCAATAAATATAATATTGATCGCAAGGAGGATGGGCATTATGTATATGTGACTAACAAATATCATTATTAATAAGAATTGGATGGCAATCAGACGAGAAAATCAAATGTTGAGTTGTTCTATTCAATGACTTGTTTGATCATTCCTTTGGTATAAGGGAAGTCAAATAATTAGAGAATCAAACATCAAATATTGAGTGTCCTATGATGGTCAACATCAACAACTAACAAATATTTTATATTAGGACAACTTATATGATAGTTAATTGGGACGATTAGATGTACAGTGACGATTAATGGTCTTCTTAGTTATTATCCTTATTAATGGCAACATAAATATTTAAGAAGGTAAACTTCAAATATATATATATATACTTATAGATATTAAGGAAATCTTTTTGTACACTCCTACATGTAGATATATACAAGGGGGGATTCATTCAACTAAAAGTATTATAACATCTAATGTAAGGGATGACTAAGCAGTAACATCAGTCGATCTACCCATCTTAGCTAACCAGTCTGCAGGTCTATTACCCTCCATAGGAATAAACTTTAATTTATAAATTTTAAGTTAATTTTAAAGTTCAATCAAACCTTGTTTGGAGATTGAATGAACTCATGAATCCTTAAAACAACTCCGATTAGATTATATTTCATTTGATTCGTCTTAATTGCATAAGCATCCAAAAAAGATGCTTTAAATGTGGACTTGGAATTTCTTTTGGGCTGACATAGAGACTTAAAGGAAGATAGCTAGTCCTAAAATTTGATATCTAACTTATACAGAGCAAATTAAGCAGAGGACTGCCTACGTTTTGGTGTAAATGAAATTTTAATTCAGGCAAATGAGATTACATAGAGGGCCATCTAGTTGCTAATGTATACCTCATTGAAAACTAAGGTTAAAAATGAGATGAAGGAACCCAATTCTGATGTCCCGTTGGTTGTTTTGGATAATCCATGCTTGAAATACTCTATGAATACATTCTCAAGTCATTATTGAACTATGAAATCTCATATCATGATTCTCCAAAGCTTAAAACTCTTTTATCTATCCAAACTTCGGATTCTCAAACTTCATGCTAATTGTATTTAACATAAACTTTTGTTTAAGTGCTAGTGATTTAAAAAAGAGCGTGCCCAACTTCTTGAAATAGAAACATCAACTTAGGAGAAAGTGCAATACATGATAAAGTAACTATAAAAGAGGGCCCAAAAATATGTGTGGCCAATTTCTAAGAAGTTTACATTCATGCGAGAGGAGACAAGATTTGATATCTAACGTTGAAGTTGAAATCATGGTTTACAATACAAGAATACATCCCAGCCTTTTTGAAAACCCAAGCACAACCTCACTAAAAAAAAAAAAAACTAAAGAATAGAAGAGGAAAACATGAGAAACAACAAATATCATAAGATGAGATAAATAACTTAAAAAGAGAACAAAGAAAATTTTCAATAAACAAATTCATCCGTTTCAACCCATTCAATTCAGCAAGATAATACTTCCAATTAAGCAGCTGGGTTTGCATCTATCTCTTTATATAATTCATGAATGATATTACGTTAAATAAAAAGATTTCTTCATTTTCCTATTCCAAACTGAATCTCTGGCTTTACTTAATAGTTTTACTCTGTACAACCAGTCAGCCACTCTAATTTCTCATGCAAATTATTTCCCTTCAGCATGATAAGCATCACACTCATACATCTAATGGAACATCAAACACATGAATCATATCAAACTCCTCATAGTCTCACCTTATAGAGGACAATTCAGAAAATATAATTATAATATATGCACCTTCTCATTGAAGACATCAACCTTGAAAGTTTCCCTCTACTAAGCTCAATCCAACTCGGATGGTCAGCACCAACATCAACTGTGGTTAAAGATATCCTGCTCGGGAGCCCAAGCTGCCGTTCCAACTCAACAACTTCTTCGACTCTCTGAATGACATGGTCGAAGCACAAGTAGCGGCCGCAAGCCGCACCTCTACCCATGGCCTCATAGATGCATATGTGTGCATCTGCAGCCTTGTTGACATCCACTGTTGCTAACGTTCTATCAGTGAATAGCTCTTGAGCTCCTACAAATTGTAGTTGAAGCAATATGTGATACTAAAAATATACGGTGAGCGTGGATTATGCCGCATCCAAGAAGAATTACACAAGGAGAAGAAAAAATTGGTTCAACGGATACATTGTTTTTGGTCGAGTTAAAGAGCATTTACCTTTGAGGTAAGCAATGGATGCTGTGGAATTCCGGCGGCGAAAGCCGGGGCCAGTAAGAAGGGCCGGACATACTGTCACCATCTTCAGATTCCTTCCGCGAGCAGCTCTCCATGCTGCCTTCTCTGCCATTGTCTTGCTTAGTGCAAACCATAGCTGCATTTGACAAAAAGAAAGACGTGTTGGTCACATACGCATTTGCTTGTCATTTTGCGGAGAATTATTTGGCAACTACATTATGTTCAATTGTAGCGAATTTGAAGGACTAATAAGAATGTTTTTGTAAACGTGTAACTATTTGCTAAAAAAAATTTAAGCCCATTAATTGAAATTACAATGAAATTCACTCAAAGGATTCAACAAAATGATCAATTTCTCTTAAGGGAGAATATGAGATAGAATAAAATTGAACTATATAGAAGTGATGCGTGCCAGAGAAATCGCTGGGTAGAGTAATGGATTATTTTCTTAGCGTTACATGAGAATTCAATAGACATAGATAAAAGAAAAAGAAATAAGTAAGCATGAGGAGACACCTCAACTTTTTACGTGGAAAACCATTAAAAGGGGGAAAAACCACGGGGTCTAACCAAGTTAAAATAGTCCACTATGAATGATGAGTACACAAGTACATTCCTCTCCTAAATTAGGGAAGATAAACTTACAAAGTTGTAAAACTATAATCTGGTTGTTGTTCTTTATAACAACAGGTTACAAGAGTCATGTTGATTGTTGTGGAGGTAATAGTCCATCGTGAGTATTGTAGATGGTTGCTCCAAAAGCGTTGATTGGCCAGAGAATTCATAATAAGCAATTACGGGAACTGTGAATCACGTAGACTGTACTTGTCGAGTATTAAAGACGTCCATAGACCGCGGGGGCCAGAGTTAGGAGCTGCATGAACTAATGGCCACGTAGGTCGTTGTGGGGAATATTGATAACTTTCGTAGGCCGCTGGTGCCAAAGTCGGGATCTGCATGAGATGATGATCGTGTTGGTTGTTAGCACATTGATCGTAGTGGTAAGCTCTTGTCCCACAGACGGGAGAGGTTAGTAGATTTCCAAGTTACAACGTTGACCGACGGCATTTGGTCAGCGGTGGTTGACGACGATCGACGAGTGTTGACGATGGCTGGCGATAGTCGACGACAGTCGAGATGTTGTTGAACTTCAACTCCTTCTCAAAGCTTCCAGTTCTCTCTGAAGTCTCAAGTCCCCTCCCTCATGTGATGGGTGGGGCTCTATTTATAGTATTATGGGTGCAATTAATGCAGAAATATTAATCACTCTGATCGGACGGTCCAAAAAATTTCCTCCGATCATGTCGCGTTTAACGGATATTTGAGTGTCTTAACGATGCCGGAATTGAGTGATCTTGGTCTCGTTGGATTTGTTTTGTCGAGCCACTCAATTCGAGTATAAACTTGCTGGTGCCGACATCTATTTGACCTCCCAAATGTGTCCAGAAATCTTCCAAGGGTGATTTAATGACTTGATCTTAGCTTGATTTGACTTAGATTAGACTAATTTTCATAACATTAGATTCATCTCATCGAACCTGACTATGAGTTTGTTGAAATCGGAGCTTTGGATGACTTTTTATTAAGATTTAAAGATTTCTTGCTTAAAATATAGTCTTGAGATTCATGTCATGCCTCGAGACTCGTGTTGGAAGATAAAACATTGTTGGTGGTGTATGAGTTGCCCCCATCTTTTTGAGCGAGACCCTTTTTATCGTCCGAAAATATAAATTTCCAGAGTATTTATATATAAGAATATGTATATCTTACTTAGTTAAGAATAACTTTTATTCTTATATAAATAGAAAGTTGAACTCAGCTAAGTTGGTTAGTATCTTTTGTTTTATGTGAGAGAGGGGGTATTTGAATCCCGCTTAAAATAGAATAAATAATATTTTATAAAGGAATTTGAAGAGATTAAGGAATTTGAAAGGGCAAAAGAGAAGGAATAAAAATTGAAAAGATTTTTTTTTAAGAATATAAAAAAATTTTATTCATTATTAGTTATGAGCATTTAATACTTGCACTTCTTTTTAAATTTCTATTTTAATGTGCATTTATTGGCCAAGGCACTTTTTGAGCCTATAAATAGGGGCCCGAAGAAGATGGTAGAGATGCGGCGGTGCGTCGTGGCGATGCGTTGCAGCGGTGCATTGCGGCAATGTAACGGGGCGGCGCGGTGGCGCGGCGGGGCAGCCAGCTGCGGTTGGGCAAACCATTGCGGCAGTGTTGGTCACATACGCATTTGCTTGTCATTTTGCGGAGAATTATTTGGCAACTACATTATGTTCAATTGTAGCGAATTTGAAGGACTAATAAGAATGTTTTTGTAAACGTGTAACTATTTGCTAAAAAAAATTTAAGCCCATTAATTGAAATTACAATGAAATTCACTCAAAGGATTCAACAAAATGATCAATTTCTCTTAAGGGAGAATATGAGATAGAATAAAATTGAACTATATAGAAGTGATGCGTGCCAGAGAAATCGCTGGGTAGAGTAATGGATTATTTTCTTAGCGTTACATGAGAATTCAATAGACATAGATAAAAGAAAAAGAAATAAGTAAGCATGAGGAGACACCTCAACTTTTTACGTGGAAAACCATTAAAAGGGGGAAAAACCACGGGGTCTAACCAAGTTAAAATAGTCCACTATGAATGATGAGTACACAAGTACATTCCTCTCCTAAATTAGGGAAGATAAACTTACAAAGTTGTAAAACTATAATCTGGTTGTTGTTCTTTATAACAACAGGTTACAAGAGTCATGTTGATTGTTGTGGAGGTAATAGTCCATCGTGAGTATTGTAGATGGTTGCTCCAAAAGCGTTGATTGGCCAGAGAATTCATAATAAGCAATTACGGGAACTGTGAATCACGTAGACTGTACTTGTCGAGTATTAAAGACGTCCATAGACCGCGGGGGCCAGAGTTAGGAGCTGCATGAACTAATGGCCACGTAGGTCGTTGTGGGGAATATTGATAACTTTCGTAGGCCGCTGGTGCCAAAGTCGGGATCTGCATGAGATGATGATCGTGTTGGTTGTTAGCACATTGATCGTAGTGGTAAGCTCTTGTCCCACAGACGGGAGAGGTTAGTAGATTTCCAAGTTACAACGTTGACCGACGGCATTTGGTCAGCGGTGGTTGACGACGATCGACGAGTGTTGACGATGGCTGGCGATAGTCGACGACAGTCGAGATGTTGTTGAACTTCAACTCCTTCTCAAAGCTTCCAGTTCTCTCTGAAGTCTCAAGTCCCCTCCCTCATGTGATGGGTGGGGCTCTATTTATAGTATTATGGGTGCAATTAATGCAGAAATATTAATCACTCTGATCGGACGGTCCAAAAAATTTCCTCCGATCATGTCGCGTTTAACGGATATTTGAGTGTCTTAACGATGCCGGAATTGAGTGATCTTGGTCTCGTTGGATTTGTTTTGTCGAGCCACTCAATTCGAGTATAAACTTGCTGGTGCCGACATCTATTTGACCTCCCAAATGTGTCCAGAAATCTTCCAAGGGTGATTTAATGACTTGATCTTAGCTTGATTTGACTTAGATTAGACTAATTTTCATAACATTAGATTCATCTCATCGAACCTGACTATGAGTTTGTTGAAATCGGAGCTTTGGATGACTTTTTATTAAGATTTAAAGATTTCTTGCTTAAAATATAGTCTTGAGATTCATGTCATGCCTCGAGACTCGTGTTGGAAGATAAAACATTGTTGGTGGTGTATGAGTTGCCCCCATCTTTTTGAGCGAGACCCTTTTTATCGTCCGAAAATATAAATTTCCAGAGTATTTATATATAAGAATATGTATATCTTACTTAGTTAAGAATAACTTTTATTCTTATATAAATAGAAAGTTGAACTCAGCTAAGTTGGTTAGTATCTTTTGTTTTATGTGAGAGAGGGGGTATTTGAATCCCGCTTAAAATAGAATAAATAATATTTTATAAAGGAATTTGAAGAGATTAAGGAATTTGAAAGGGCAAAAGAGAAGGAATAAAAATTGAAAAGATTTTTTTTTAAGAATATAAAAAAATTTTATTCATTATTAGTTATGAGCATTTAATACTTGCACTTCTTTTTAAATTTCTATTTTAATGTGCATTTATTGGCCAAGGCACTTTTTGAGCCTATAAATAGGGGCCCGAAGAAGATGGTAGAGATGCGGCGGTGCGTCGTGGCGATGCGTTGCAGCGGTGCATTGCGGCAATGTAACGGGGCGGCGCGGTGGCGCGGCGGGGCAGCCAGCTGCGGTTGGGCAAACCATTGCGGCAGTGCGACGCGGCGGCACGGCGGTGCGGCG